TCGCTCCCCGCACCCCGGAGTCGCTGTGCCCAATACCCTGCGGGGCCCGAAGGTGGCGCCTAATAAATGAACTCGAAAAAGAGGAGCGAGGCACGGAGGCTTTAATGGCCCTGGGGCTGGCGGAGGGGCGGGGGCCGGGGCCCCAGGGCTGGGATCAAAGCGTGTGCAGGTCTTGGCTACGCCGGCTCAGCTTCTCGGGGTCGTCTGAGGCCATGAGGGAGAAGTCGCGGAAGATGTCCAGATACGTCTCGTCTCCTGCTGGGAGGGAGGAAGGGCTGGGGAGGCGGGACAGCCGGGCCCCAGCGGGAACAGCGCGATGGGCGGCCGGGCCACTGGCAGTGAGCGCGCTCGCGCCGTGGGTGCAGGAACGTGCGCGCCGCGAGCGCTGCGCCCGGCCTAGTCCCCGCTCTGTTCCGAGGGCCTGGCACGTCCAGTGCGCCCGGTATTTATTTATTGAGGAGATAATGGAATTAATGCAGCCGGGCGTGAAAAGGACAGGTCACTGGAGCCGGAAGTCCAGAATTCCAGTGTTGGGCTTGGGGGGATGTGGTAGACGGATACTTTACCAGCCTGGCCCTGAGCCGCTTCAGCCTCCCTCATCTTTGCCAATCGCAGCCTGAGGGGAGGAGGGAATTAAGAAAGGAATGACATTCTCCTCCCTCCTCCTCCCCACCTCCCCACTCTTTGGGCTGGGTTGTTTCATTCATTCAGGCCCTTAGCGGATGCACTAATGCGACCTCTCAGGACTCGCCTGGCGCGGACCGCCCGCGCCTTCCTACACCACGCCCCAGTCCGTACCTGCAGCACCCTTTCGGTGCCAGGCCCAGGAGCCAGGCCCGCCCCTCCCGGGCCCCACTCTGGTTTTGCGTTAGCCCCGCCCCAATGGGTAGTCCAAGCGCTGGCCCCGCCCCTTCAGGCCTTCTCACAAGGTGACGATGTCAGCGTTGGCTGTTTCCATGGCGATGGTCAGAGGGTCCCTGCCTTCAGAGTCTCGAGCCCCCAGATCGGCTCCACGTTTCAGGAACAGGCAGGCGAGCCTGGAGAGGATAGCCAGTCCAGCACCGCCCCAGCCTCCACCCCCGCTGGGGCCCTCCTCCATGGCCTTAGACCCTGCCACCCCTACCCCGTGTGGCCAAGGATGGTCGCATGGTGCAGCGGGCCCCGGCCAGCACTGTCCGCTTGGTTCACATTCGCCCCGTTCTGAAGGAGAAACTCACAGGCCAGAAGAGAATTCTGCACGGAGGTAGAGAACAGGGTTGAAGGTAACGTCTTCGGAGGTGGATTTCAGGATGTTATGGGTGGGGTCAGTCCAGAGGGTGGGAAGTGGGGTTGGTGATTGGGAGTAAGGGGGAGGGTACAGCCGAGGGTCAGGCTGGACTCTAGCTCTCCACTCGCGTCCATATATTATGTCCATAGCACAGCCTTAGGAGGTACGGTCCCCCTATGTACAGAGGAGACTGAGGCACAGAGAGTTAATACCCTGTTTGAAGTCACCTGTGAGGGGTGAGCCTGGGTGCGGCCCCAGGCTCTCTGCTTCCAATCACACTTTTTCCTCTTATTTTTAAGTTTGTGCTATAGGGTACATATGCTCAGCAGAGAGACAGAGAGGGAAAGTGAGCAATGACCCCTCGGGGGGAGGGGGTCGGCCACATCAGTCCCTTCTCCTTTCCCCTCTTAGGGTGTGGGCACACATGCACACTCATTGGCGTGTTTTTCAAGCTGGCAGACCGGGACTCACACCGTGCAGTTGGCCGTGTGGGATCCAGCCAGCCTGACCACCACACCACCGGCTGGACCCCTGAAGAGCCAATAGTCTACACTGCTCATTTCCTCCTATGGGTCGGGGGCCCCAGAGAGCAGGTTGGGGGAGGACGAGGTAAGGGCTGGGCCCAAAGTAAGGAGAAGCGGTCAGAGGGGAGGAACCATATGGTGTAGGGGGGAGGTGGGCAAGGTTCTCACAGCAGCTGTGGCCTGGATCAGCGGTGTGGCATTCTCCTGTCCCCCATTGACCCAGTTGACATCGGCTCCATGGGCAAGGGCATCAGCCATGGTGGGAAGGGATGGAGGATGCCCAGCAGCTCGAAACAGCAGGGCCCCAGGGTGTAGGCTTTCCAGGTCATCGGAGGGGGGCTCTGTTGGGGAGTTTAATTCTGTTAAGGGTCACCTCTAAACTCTCAGCACAGTCCCCCGATGCTGTACCAGGCTGTCATTTTTTTTTTTTTTTTGCAGAGAGATTTTTGGTATAGGGCATGTGTACACTCCAGAGAGACAGAAAGCAAAAAATCACCCCCTAGAGGGGATGACCATGCCATAATCCGCTCTCCTCCATTCTCCTCAGGATTTTGGGCATGCACGCACATGTGCCCGATGTGAGTTTCAAGATGTGGGTCCAGGACTCAAACTGCGGTTGATTACGTGGCAGTCCAGTGACATGACCAGTACGCCATCTGCTGGTCCCTGGGCTAAGTCACCTCTAAATGGGGAGGCTTCACGACTAGGGACTAGGGTGGTGCTGGAGCAATGTGTGTGAGTGTGAGTGCTTAGGTGTGCAGGGCCCTTAGATGTGGGGAAAGCACACCGTCCACCTCATCCTGCCAACCCCACTGGAACTGGCTGGGGGGTCACAGTGAGCTGACTCCCTGACCCTAGGCCTCAGCTCTCAACTCCCTTGGCTCCAGCCAAACACACACCACCTCCTCCGAGCTTGGAGGACCCCAGGCTCATTGCCCCTCCTCCCTTTTCTCACCCTGTTGACATCCCTTACGTAGCGCTGCCTTCCTACTCCCAGCCCCACATTCCTTCCCATTCCTCAACCGGTCCTAAAGGAAGAGGCCTGGGCTACACACTCCGTGCCTCCCTACGGCCTGGCACGGGGCCTGGCACGGCATTGAGCACACAGCAGCACTCAGGAAGGGCCCATACCCGGCTTGGATCTGAAGCTCCCTGGCCGGGGCTTGATGGAAGGCTTTGGGGGCACAGGAGGCTGCCCTCTTGGGGGCCTTCGGCCACCTCTTCGTCCTCGAATCTCAGGAAGCTTAGTCAGGAACTTCTTCTCCACGTATTTGGCATGAATCCAGGCCTCCTTCTCCTGCCTGGGGGAGAGGGAGACAGGGTAGTCTTTCCTCATCCTATCCCCCAGGGAGGGGAACTCCAGGCGCACGCACCCCCACCTCACCTGGAGCAGGTAGGCCCCGGCTTCTTCACTGCCATGGCCTCCACACGGGCCTCATAGATCTGGTTGATGATGACGTTTCCCAGCTCGCACATAAGCTTCAGGAGGTGCAGGCGGAGGCGGAGGCAAACAGGCGGGGTGTGGGGGTGACTGTCTGAGCCCTCTGTGCTCCTCGGTCCCATGTCCTTGCCCCCTAATCTTCACAATATCCCAAGTTACCTTCACTAGTTCTGGTTCCCAGGAGTCGAGTGTCAGAGACCGGACTTTGGAGAAGTGAACACCAAGGCTCCTGGAGGGCCACAGGGGGAGTCAGGCCCTTTGTGGGGCACGGGGGCCACTGCCTGGAGGCAAGGTCAGGTGGGGGCCCTGCAGAGGAGCTCGGTCAGGAGGCAGGGCAGCTGGGCCATGGAGCCTGGACCTGGTTCTAACAGGACCCTGCCTGCTAAGCCCTTCTTCCTTCTTCCCTGTGTTCCGTTTTAAAGCCCTCATGCCCTGCACCCTGGCTCCTGCCTCCTCTCTGACACTGTGGCCTAGACAGCTCTTCCCATGGGAGGGGGGCTTATTTATAGACCTGCTAAGGCCTCACCTCTTCTCCTTCTACTTTCCATTGGCTTCCCCACCCTCAGCAGCCCTGACCTCACACTTCCTCCAACCAAGCCAACAAACTCCTCCGGTTGTCCTTAACCATGGCCAGACCAGGACATTAAGAAGTTTAGGCTTAGGTCCAGCAGGTGGCGTGGTGATTAAGGGTGCTGGACTCACATATGGCCGACCTTGGTTCGAGTCTCAGACCTGGTGGCTTGCTTTCTCACTTTCTCTCTCTCTCTCTCGCTTTGTCCCTCTCTGGTCAAATTTAAATAAGTAAATTTAAAATGTAAATAAATAAATAAATATTTCAAAATTTAAAAAAGAAATAAGTAAATAAATAAAGTTAAGTCAAATAAAATAATTCTTTTAAAAACAAAAAAGCAGCAGCTTAGGCCCACGTGGTTTACCTGGTGCTCCACAGGCTTGGTGCCCGGAGTCAGAGCCAGAATCTAGAGAGGAAGCCGGGGCAGTGTGGGAGGAGAGGGGCTTGTGCGATAGGAAGCTGGTAGGAGTGAGACTCATGCAAGGGGCCTTGGGGAGTGACCTGTGGATGCCGGAGCACTGGATGCAGAGGGTGACACCGAGGTTGATGCTGGCCCACTCCGGGGCAGGCTCCCGGCAGTCACAGCACTGGGCATTGCCATCCACACTCTGCACCTGGGCTGCCACCTGTCCAACTCCCCCAGGCTCTCTTCCCCGGGCCATCCCACCACAGCCCAGGGTGGCTGCAGAGCCTATGGCCAGGTGTCCTGAGCCCTGGGGAGACAGAGGAAGAAAGGTAGCCAGGGAGCCTTTGGTAAGGGGTGCCCAGGGGGCCTTTGGTAAGGGGTGTGCCATCTCCCAGGGCAGCCTAGCCCTGCATCTCCACATCAGGTACCTGGCCTGGACCCCGGGGGCTGTCATCAAGGCGAGCCTGGCTGAAGGCTGAGGCAATGCTGCTCTGCACGGCACTGACCCACAGCTGCAGGAGGCGCTCTGAGTCTGCCTGGAGGAGGCAGGACCTGGGAAGAAGAGCAGGGAGATGGTGGTGGGGCCTGTGGCCTGCAGGCAAGGTGACAGGCGGGGCAGGTTGGCCTTCAGTATTCATCTGGTACCATTTGCATTGAAATGATCCTAGGAGCCTGATTTGATCACCACACAATGTCTGCATGAATTAGAACATCGTACAGTATGCCATAAATGTGTAATTATTACACGACAATTAAAAAAACTAGTTTGTAGGGACTAGCAGGTGGCATGGTGGTAAGGCGCTGGACACTCCCACATGGCTGACCACAGTTCAAGTCCTGGACCTGGTGGCTTGCCTTTTCACTTTCCTTCTCTCTCTCTCTCTCTGTGTGTGTCTGTGTGTGTGTGTGTGTGTGTCTCCCTGGTCAAATTAAAATAAATGAATGAGGAACCAGCAGTTGGCGTAATGGCTATGTCACTGGACTCCCATGTAGTCAACCACAGTTCAAGTCCTTGGGTGCATGCCCAAGATCCTGAGAGAATGGACGAGAAGGGATTGTGGCATGGCCATCACCCCTGGGAGTAATTTCTTGCTTTTTGTCTCTCTGTCTCTCTCTCTGTCTTTCTGGAGAGCATACGTGCCCTAGAGCAAAAACCTCTCCAAAAAAAAAAGAATGAATAAAGAAAAAATTGAGAGAAAAAGAATACCGCCGTGGGGCACAGTCATGCCGCGATCCTTCCTCCTTCATTTCTCTCTCTGTTCAGGGTTGTGGGCATGCACACATGTGCCCAGTGTTTTTTCAAGGTGGCAAGTTCAGGACTTAAACTGGATGTAGACCACATGGAATCCAGCTCCACCAGGCCATGGGCTGGCCCTAAATTTATTTTTTTTAATGGGATGGTGGGCCAGCTGGTGGCATGGTGGTAAAGCTGGCTGGATCCCACATGGCCAACTGTACTTTTGGTCTGGTGGCTTGAAAAACACATTGGGTGCATGTGCTTAGGTACCCAAAACCTGGAGAGCAGAATGGAGCAAAGAGGACTGTGGCCTGGCCATCCCACTGGTGGGGTGTTTTACTTGTTTTGAGGCAGATTTTTGCTATAGGGCATGTGTGCTTACCAGAGAGGCAGAGAGCAAGAAATCTCCCCCGCCCCCCGCCGCCCGCCGCCCGGGGGGAATGGCCATGCCACAGTCCCCTCTCCTCGGTCCTGCAGTCAAGGATGAAGTCCTGGAGCCGCGTGGTTGGCCCCGGCTGGAAAACCTGGGCGTATCACGGGCTCGCACTCACTTGCTGGTGGACACCACCTCAAAGCAGAACCGCCTTTCGGAGTCAGGGCAGAGCTTCACTGTGCAGAGACGGAGGTCGTCCACCACCACAGTCACGGGGTCCTGGTAGGAGATGATGATAAGGGACAGATGTCCAACCACAGCCAAGGGCCGACATCCTCTGGGCCCAGGAATCCAGGACCCTGGCCTACCCACCTTGTACTTCTTCTGATAAACCAGCTGGTTGCTCTGAATGGTGAACCAGCGTCTGGAGGAGGTGGAAATAGTTATGAACATGAGGCAGCGGTGGGACGAGGCTTGGGGCAGGGACAGAAGGCAGGCCATGCCCTCTTGCCCCATAAGGTTAGCACAGATTGGGGAGCGGACTGACCCTCTCATGAGACACTTTGGAGAAAGGTGGACAGCTCTGTAGACTGGGACATCAACGGGGTGCTGTTCATGCCTCGGACAACCCAGATTTGATAGGTTTACGAAGACTATTTTCCAGTAAATGGGACTAAAATGCTTTTCATTTTTCTTTTTAAAATTTGCTACAGGGTGTGTCTTTTGGTGAGCTCACCAAAGAGAGAGAGAGAAAGAGAGAGAGGGGAAGTGAGAAATCAACCCCGAGCGGGGATGGCCACACCTCAGTCCCTTCGCCTCCATTCTCCTCTCGAGATTGTGGGCGTGCACACACCACCACACCAGCTGCCGTCCCATCCTATGATACTACTACCTTGCAATCTAATATATAACTTACTCAACTGTTGTTTCCTAGCTATCTTCTAAAAATATTTGTAAAATTTATTTATTCATTCATTTTAACTTGACCAGAGAGAGACAGACACAAAGAGAGAGACAGACAGAGAGAGAGCAAGAAAGCAAGCCACCAGATCCAGGACCTGAACCATGGGTGGCCATGTGGGAGTGTCCAGTGCCTTAACCACCATACCACCTGCTGGTCCCCCAGCTCTCTTTCCTGCTAGAATTTAAACTATATAGGGACCAACAGTTGGCACAATGGCTATGTTGCTGGACTCCCATGTAGTCCACCATGGTTCGCGTCCTGGACCCGGTGGCTTAAATTTATGCCGGGCGTGTGTGCGTGCGTGCCCAAGATCCTGAGAAGAGAATGGAGGAGAAGGGATTGCGGTGTGGCCATTCCCCTGGGAGGTGATTTCTTGCTTTCTGTCTCTCTGTCTCTCTCTGTCATTCTGGTGAGTGCATGCGCCCTATAGCAAAAACCTCTCCAATAAATAAATAAATAAATAAACTCTATGAAGGCAGGATGCCTTGCTTCTTTTTCTTCGCCGTGTTTGGCACACTGTAACCACTCAACGACATTTCAGGGGGTGGCTTTGGCAGCTTCGTGTCCTTGCCTCACCTGCTCCAGGTCTTAAATGCGTTGCTGGCCCTTTTGAAGAGATGTCCTTCCATGACCAGGCCGCCAGGCCCCTCCTTGAGGCTTGGCTCTGGTTCCTCCCCACCCAGCTCCTGGGGGCACAAGAAGGCCAAAGGGCAACTGGGTGGGCAGAGACCATGGCCACAGGCCGGCCCCGACCCCGAGCCCCAGGCTCACCTTCTGTTTCAGCAGCACGTGTCTCTGCTCCATGTCCCTCTTCTCTCGGGCTGAATTCAAGACCAGCTGGTGCAACTGAGCAGAGATAGGAAGGGCATTTTAGATGCTCTGGCCTCCCCCCAGTAAGCCAGGGCAGTCATTTCTGAGCCCTGTCACCTCCCTCTACCACCTGCCGGTTCCCTGGGACCACACCTGGGCACCCAGATCCTTGCGATACTGGGCCAGCCGGCTCAGCTCCTCGTGGCCCTGCTGGAAGTGGGTGGCCTGGGCCTCCACCAGACGCAACACCTGGGGGACAAGGGGAGCAGGGCGCAGAGCTGAGGAAGGACCTGCTCTCCCTCCCTCCTCCCGCTCTGCCAGCGGGCTCCTCCCGAGCCTCCCTCCCCACCACCCAACTCACGAACTCCATGATGTCGAACTTCCTCTTGTCCTCAATCACATTGATCTGGGGGCCCCAAAAGACCTCAGGTCAGTCTTGAAAACGTGGTGCCCCTCCCACTGTATTGCAGGGATTCCCCAGCCTCGCAGAGACACCTGAAGCCCTGGTACCCCAAGAGGAGAGACTGAGGCAGGCACCTGCAGGGCATAATCCAACGCCCGTCCCCGGAACCCAGCCCGGGCAGTCAAAAAACTCCTTCCTCTTCCGCCTCCTGGGCCCGGCGCCTGGGCACCTCGGCATTGTGGGTAAGAGCCGCCTCCAGGCTCTCAGCGCCCCGCCAGAAATCCCGGCGAGCCTCTCGGAAACCTCGGAGACCTCTGGGGACAGGGAGGTGACACAGTCACAGGTAACACCCACCCGCCCCCAGCAGAGAACCCCCAGGATGAGGCCCTGCCATGTCCTTTCAGCTAGCCTATGTATAGTTAGAACCCCAAGGGGACCCCCAGGACGGAGGGAGAGAAGTCAGGCCACCAGAACCCCCAATCCCACAACTCCTTCACACAGGACCCCCTGTGGTCATGGACTGGAGAAAGGCCCCCTGCCCCTTCCCTCCCATCTCACTCCTTGACCAGGGTCTGGATCTCCTGCTGCAGCGTGTGCTGGGTGGCATCGAGAAGCTCCTGCGGGAAGCACAGGTTGGCAGGCAGGCTCAGGCCCAGGCGGCCTCGCCCTCACCGCCGCCGCCCAGCCCTACTCACCGCGTGGCTGTCCAGCTTGTGGTTCAGGCTCCCCGTGAATTTGTCCAGACACTCCTACAAGGACACAGAGGAGCACCGGGGTGGGCTGGCGGGGCCCTCCCAGCTCTGGCCCGGCCTGCTCCTGCACAGCAGCTCCCACCCCAGGCGGCCCGCTCCACACCCTCCACATACCGCCATCATGGGCTCTGGCGGACCCAGGCGGGCCAAGTCACAGATGCCGACAATGAAGGCGCGGCTGGCGGCAAGGTAATGGCGCCCACTTTCCAGGAGGCCAGTGCCCAGCTTGAGGAGCTGGGAAAGAACGAGGGCAACGGCGGTTATGCCGTCTGCCACCACGCCTGGTGACACCCCTGCTTCTCCTCCCCTTGCCCAGGGCTGGACTCCTCAGTCAGACCTGCCTGTCCTCCCCTCGGCTGGTGCGGCCCTCCTGTTTCTCACCCTCCCTGGGTGTTCTCGCCTCTGCCTCTGTTCCCACTGCCCTGTGCCTCACACTGTCGGCTGCGCCTTCAAAAGGTCTCTCCCCAGGCTGGTGCTGGGAGCTGGATCCCAGATGGCCACTGACCGTGCGGTTCAAATCCCAGACCCAGCAGCTTGAAAAACACCCCTGGCATGTGTAGTGCATGTGTGCCCCAAATCCCGGGAGGATGGAGAAATGGAGGTGACTACACCCTACTAGAGGGTGCTTTCTCCTTCTATCTCTATCTCTCTCTCTCTCTCTAATGAGTGCACGTGCCCTCTGACAATTAAAAAAAAAAAAGTCATAGTGGTTAAGGTACTGGACTCCCACATGGCCAACTGTGGTTCGAGTCCTGGACCTGGTAGCTTGAAACTTACTCAGGTGCATGTGCGTATGCCCAAAGTCCTGAGAGAAGAATGGAGAAGAAGGGGTTGCAGTGTGGCCATCCTTCCCCCACCGGGGGGGTGATTTCTCACTTTCTGTCTCTCTCTCTCTCTCCAGAGAGTGCACATGCCCTATAGCAAATAGAAATTCTCTCCCCAGAAACCCCATGACCTGCACTGCCTGGCTCCCGGGGGGTATTAAGTTCTGCACTGCCTGCTATCTGGGGTTGGCCACTCTGTGTGGGTGGAACCTTCCCTCACAAGTGTTCATTGGTCCTCTAGGCCCACAGGGTCAGGGACAGCATACTACGGTGCTCCTGGACCCACCCCGTCTGGCCCCCTCAACTGACAAAAAGGGAGACTCAGTAACTGGGGACCACGTGGCTGGCTTGAGGAGGGTCTCCCTGGGGATCCAGGTGGTTCAGTCAGAACCCAGGTCAGTCCTGGACCTTGTCACCTGCAGGGCTACGACACTGCCCCTGAGCCGGTACCACCTGGCTTTGGCCTAGGTCACTGTATCCGGGATGGAGCAAGTGTCTGTGGAGCCCTTCAGCTCCACCCAGGGTGGCTGAGAGGGAACCCCGAGCAGGAGGAGCTCAGAAAGCCTGGGCTGCGCAGGTTCGCGGTGCACTTTGGTTAAACTGAAAACCGTTTCCTGAGGCTCATGGAGGCCTCAGCGATATACGGCTTGACTTGAAGGCAGCTGGCAGGGTCCATAATGGTCAGGAAGTGGGGCTAGACGGTGGCATGGTGGGAGACCTCCCTGAACACACCAGGTGCACACGTACCCGTGATTGGGGCCTGGCTGAAGCTGGGGGACATCACAGAGTGAGGACCCTGCTGAGGGGACCTGTCCCTCTCTCTGTTTCTCCCTCTTATCAGATATCGCCATAGGGCATCCGAGGCGAGGGACAAGGAGCCTCACGACTTACTGTGAGGATCTGAAGGACCGAGGGTCCAGTTCTTTCTTACCTACCCAGTTCCCCCACCACGTACACGAGCAAGGAACCTTCACAAGACTGAACTGGTGACCGACTAGTCCATCCGTACACACATTACTCAGCACAGGGCGGGAGGGCAGAGGGGCAGGGGGTAGGTGGTGTGGTGGTTCAGGCACTGGACTTCCACATGGTCAACTGCAGTTTGAGCCCTGGACCTGGTGGCTGCTTCCTCACTTTCCCTCTCTCTTAGCTCAAATTTAAATAAATAAAATAATTATATAAAAAAAATAAAGATGAATGCATGGATCAGCGGGTGGTTTGGTGGTTAGGGTGCTGGATCCCACATGGCTAACTACATAGCTTGAGTCCTGAACCTGAGGGTCTGAAAACATGCCAGGTGCGTGCGCGCGTGTGTGTGTGTGCAAAATCCTAAGAGGAGACTGAAGGAGAAGGGACTGCAGTGTGCCATCCCCCTAAAGGGTGATTTCTCACTTTCCCTTTCTGTCACTTTCTCTCGCTCTAGAAAACGCACATGCCCTATGGCAGAAATATTTTTAAAATTAAAAATAAAGGAACCAGCAGTTAGCGTAATGGCTATGTCGCTGGACTCCCACGTAGTCGACCGCGGTTCGCGTTCCGGACTCAGTGGCTTAAAAACTCACGCCGGGCGTGTGTGCGTGCGTGCCCAAGATCCCGAGAGGAGAATGGAGGAGAAGGGATTGCGGCGTGACCATCCCCCCTGGGGGGTGATTTCTCGCTTTCTGTCTCTATGTCTCTCTCTGTCTGGCAAGCGCACGCGCCCTATAGGGAAAAACCTCTAAAAAAAAATTAAAAATAAAAAAATGAATGCACTATTGCTATGTGCAACAACTTGGATGCTCTTCAAGGATATTATTCTGGTTGCAAAAAAGAAAGAAAGAAAAGCCTATCTCAAAAGGCCACAGATACTATGATTTCATTACAGTCATACGCCACACCGCATTTCAGTCCACAATAGATCGCACATACTGCAGTGGTTCTGTAAGATTATAATGGATCAGGGCCAGCAGGTGGTGTGGTGGTTGAGGTGCTGGACTCCCACATGGCTAACCTCAGTTCGAGTCCTGGACCTGACGGTTTGCTTTCTCATTTTCTCAATCTGTGTGTGTGTGTGTCTTTCTGGTAAGCACACATGCACTGTAGCACATTTTAAAAAATAAATGATAAATAAAATTAAATAAATGTTTTTAGTTTTCTTTTTTGGAGAGGTTTTTGCTATAGGGCACGTGCGCTTGCTCAAAAGAGAGAGACAGAGAGACAGTGATAAATCACCCCCCTGGGGGGATGGCCATGCCACAATCCCTTCTCCTCCATTCTCCTCTCAGGATCTTGGGCACGCACACACACGGGTCCAGCATGAGTTTAAGCCACCAGGTCTGGGACTTGAACTGTGGTCGGCTACATAGGAGTCCAGTGACATAATCATTATGCCAACTGCTGATCCCAATAATTTTTTTTTTTAAAGATGAGGGACCAGCAGATGGTATAAATTATGTTGCTGAATTCCCACATAGCCAACTACGGTTCAAGTCCTGGACCTGGTGGCTTGAAACTCATGCTGGGAGCGGGTGGTGCATATCCAGGATCCTGAAAGGAGAATGGAGAAGTTTGTGATGTGGCCATTCCCCTGGGAGGTGATTTCTTGCTTTCTGTCTCTCTGTCTCTCTCTGTCTCTGGCGAGTACACGTGGCCTATAGCAAAAATCTCTCTTAAAAAAAGAAGATTCCTATCAGCTAGTGACATCATAGCCGTCAGTGATGACATCACAGCGCCAGCATCGCATATTGGTGGAGATGCCGACGTAGATAAGCCTCCTGCACTGCCAACTGCACAACGAACAGTGCATCCAATTCTGTCCAGGGCGTGACACTTGCTAATAACCGTGTTACTAGTTTATGTATTTACCATACTTTACATCTTTTCTTTTTTATTGTTAGGAGGCAAATGAACTAGCCAGAGCGAGAAAGAGTAAGCAATAGCTGTGGCCACACTGCAATCCTTTTTCCATTCCTCTATCCCATCAAGATCTGGGGGACCCCTGCATGGTTCTCAAGCTGCCAGGGCAAGGACTTGAACTAGTTGTGAGACCCAGCTCCCTGTGCACAGGGCATAAACCCCGCGATGCTGGGCCAACAGTCTACTCTATTTATTTAGTTATTATTGCTAGAGAGTGAGTGCTTGCCAGAGAGTGCTTACACCCCAGTGCAGTGTGGTCCTGTGCAATCCTTTCTCTTCCATTTTTCCAATCTGTCAGGATTTGGGGTATGCATGCACATGTGCCCAGCATGTTTCTCAAACCTCTGGAGCTGGAATGGCAATCGGCCATGTGGGATCCAGCTCCCAATGCACAGTGCTTGACCACTGCATTATGGGTCGACCCTATCATTGCTTCAGAATGTACCCTTCCTTTCTTTGTTTTCTTAGGGAGATTTTTTGCTATAAGGCATGTGTGTTTGCTGGAGAGACAGAGACAGAGAGAGAGGCTGAAAGCCAGAAACCACCACCGCGCCCCCAGGGTGGAAGGCCATGCTGCAATCCCTTATCCATTCTCCTCTCGGGATTTTGGGAACACACGCATGTGCGCCCAGCATGAGTTTCAAGCCACGAGGTCTGGGACTTGAACCATGTGGGAGTCCAGCGATGTAACCATTCTGCCATCTGCTAGTCCCTAGAACATACTCTTTCTACGCATATAAAAAAGTCTACTATAAAACCATATGTGGCCAGGGGACCAGCAGTTAGCATAATGGCTATGTCGCTGGACTCCCATGTAGTCAACTGCGGTTTGAGTCCTGGACCCAGTGGCTTAAACTCACGTCGGGCGTGTGTGTGTGCGTGCCCAAGATCCTGAGAGGAGAGAGGAGGAGAAGGGATTGTGTCATGGCCATCCCCCCTGGGGGTGATTTCTCACTTCCTGTCTCTCTTCTCTTATCTTTCTGGTGAGCGCATGTGCCCTATAACAAAAACCTCTCCAAAAAAAACCAGTATGTGGCCGGGACCAGTAGGTGGTGTGGTGGTTAAGGTGCTGGACACTCCCATATGGCCGACCATGGTTCAAGTCTAAGACCTGGCGGCTTGCTTTCTCACTTTCCCTCTTTCTCTCTCTGGTCAAACTAAAAATAAATGAGTGAATAAATAAAATTAAATAAATAGGGACCAGTAGTTAGCGTAATGGCTATGTCGCTGGACTCCCACGTAGTCGACCGCGGTTCACGTCCCGGACACGGTGGCTTAAAACTCACGCCAGGGGCGTGTACGTGCATGCCCAAGATCCCGAGAGGAGAATGGAGGAGAAGGGATTGCGGCGTGACCATCGAGATAGAGAGACAAAGTGAGAAATCACCCCCCAGGAGGGATGGCCAACCACAATCCCTTCTCTTCCATTATCCTCTCGGGATCTTAGGCACACATGCACACTTGCCCAGTGTGAGTTTAAGCCACCAGGTCTGGGACTCGAACTGTGGTCGACCACATGGGAGTCCAGCGACATAGCCATTATGCCAACTGCTGGCCCCTGCATCATTTTTTTAAAAGATAAGTTTTTATTATAGGGCGCGTGTGCTCGCTGGAAAGACAGAGAGAGACAGAAATCAATAAATCACCCCCTATGCACAGGGGATGGCCATACTCTAGAAGACTCCAGTCTCTTCTCGGGATTTTGGGTAGGCATGCACATGCACCTGGTGTGTTTTAAACTGCAGGTCTAGGATTCAAACTGTAGTTGACTATGTGGGCGTCCAGCGACGTAACCATTTCGCCATTGCCGGTCCGTGTCATTTTTCATCTGTGCTCAACCTTCTCTCATGTTTTGTTCACCAAGGCCCCTAAGTGCATAAAACCCACCGCATATACCATATGGCCTAGGTGTCAGGAGGCTACGCCATCTAGGTCTGCGTGAGTCCACTCTGATATTCACACAATGACAAAATCGTCTAACACTTCAGGTTTCTCAGAATGCATCTCTGTGGTTAAGCAAAGCATAATTGTGTAGGACATTTTAGAAACGATGAAAGCATGAGAGAGCAAGTCAGTGTTTGCCATGGATTAAGAGGGACTGGAGAAGGTGTTACTCTAAGGATAACACAACGAGTTCCTTTCAGTGATGAAAGCTTTGGGTGTTGAATGTGGGGATGGTTATATGAATCTATGCGTGTAATAAAGTACACATTCACAAAAACATATGCCAAAAAGAAGGGTATTGGGGCTGGCAGGTGGCATGGTGGTTAAGAGCGCTGGACTACCACATGACTGACTATGGTTCAAGTCCCGGACCTGGCAGCTTGCTTTCTTACTCTCCCCCTAACCCTTGCTCTGTCCCTCTCTGGTCAAATTTTAAAAATAAGTAAATAAATAAAGTTAAAAAAATAATTAAAAAAAAAGAGTATATGCAAAATATAAAATTGGGGTAAGGGCTGTAGATGTCATTGTTAGTTGTATTATGCCAATATATTTTTTAAAAATAATTATTAATTTAATTTTATTTATTCATTCATTTATTTTAATTTGACCAGAGAAAGACAGACATACAGAGAGAAGGAAAATGAGAAAGCAAGCCACCAGGTCCAGGACTTGAACTGTGGTCAGCCATGTGGGAATGTCCAGTGCCTTAGCCACCACGCCACCTGCTGGCCCCCATATTATGCCAATATTAATTCCTGGGTTTTAATATTGCACTACACTTACGTAAGTATTCTTATGAGTCTCTGATTGACTCAAAAAGTTCAATTAGGGGGTCAGTAGCTGGTGTGGAGGTTAAGGCAGCTGGATCCGACATGGCTAACTGCACGCTTTTAATCTTGGGCCCAGCAGCTTGAAAATTACAGAGGGCACGGGGCCGGCAGGTAGCATGATGGTTAAGGGTGCTGGACTTCCACAAGGCCAACCATGGTTTGAGTCCTGAACCTGGTGGTTTGCCTTCTCATTCTCTTTGTCTCTCTTGCACTCTATCCCTCTCTGGCCAAATTTAAATTACTTACTTAATTAAATAACTCTATAAAAATAAGATTCGAGAGGTTTTTGCTATAGGACATGTGCACTCATCAGAAAGACCGAGAGAGACCTCCAAAAAAAAAAAAAAGAAAGAAAAGAAAAGAAAAGAAAACGGGACCAGCAGTTGGCATAATGGCTATATCGCTGGACTCCCATATAGCTGACTGCAGTTCGAGTCCCGGACTTGGTAACTTAAATTCATGCTGGTGCATGTGCATGCGTGCCCAAGATCCCAAGAGGAGAATGGAGAAGGGATTGTGGCATGGCCATCCCCCATCGGGAGTGATTTCTTGCTTTCTGTCTCTCTGTCTCTCTCTGTCCTTCTGTTGAGCGCACGTGCCCTATAACAAAAAACCTCTCCAAAAAAAAAAAAAAGAGAGAGAGAGAGGCAGAGAGACAGAAAGCAAGAAATCACCCAGCCATGCCACAATCTCTTCTCCTCCATTCTCCTCTCGGGATCTTGGTCACACACACGCATGTGTCCAGAGTAAGTTTAAGTCACTGGGCCAGGGACTCAAACCGTGGTCTGCTACATAGGAGTCCAGCAACATACCCATTATGCCAACTGCTGGTCCCTTAAATAATTATTTTATTTAACTTTGTTTATTTATTTATTTTAATTTGACCTGAGAAGGACAGAGTGAGAGAGAGAGAAAGTGAGAAAACAAGCCACCAGGTCCAGAACTCAAACCGCGGTTGACTACATGGGAGTCCAACAACATAGCCATTATGCCAACTGCTGGTCCCAACCTATTGTTTTAAACCACTGAATTTGGGGGGGAAAAATACAAACAAGAAAAAACACCGAATTTGGAATAATTGGTTCTACAGCAATAGAGAACTAATAGATCAGGCCAGCTCCATGGCCTCCTGGTTAAGGGAGCTGGATCTCACATGACTGGCTCTGCAGTTTAAGTCCTGAACCTGGAGGCTTGAAAAACACTCCAGGCATGTGTGCATGTGTATACCAAATCTCAACAGGCTGAAGAAACAGGGGAGAAGAAATTGTGGCACGACCATGCCCCACTGGGGAGTGCTTTCTCCTTTTCCCCTGACTCTTGGTCTCTCTAGTGAGTGCCCATGTCCTCTGGCAAAATGACCAAAAAAAGGGGGGTGTGTATGCAGCTGGTGGCATGGTGATTAAGGCCCTGAATTCTCATGTGGCCAACAGTGGTTCGAATCCTGGATCTGGTGGCTTAGAAATCATGCCAAATGCATGTGTGTGCATGCTCAAAAATTCCAGGAGGAGGATGGAGGAGAAGGGATTGTGGCGTGGCCATCCACCTGTGGGAGTGATTTCTCATGTCACCTCTATCTTTGTCTCTTCCCCCTGAGTGCACACACCCTATGGCAAAAACCTTAAAAAAAGAAAAAGAAATTATAGCAAAAACACCTACACCAGACAGAGGTAAGTGCTATAGAGAGAATAAAGTGGAGTGAGAGGATGGGGGAGTGTGTGTGCTCATGCGTGTATGTGCTATGTCATAAAGAGTGGTCAGGGGAGGCCTCGCTGTCTTGGGTTTAAATGTCTCATCGGTCTGCCTTCCACAGCCAGCCTGTGGCTGTGTGCGGGCAGAAACGGTCTTGCTCTCCTGGAACACTGAGGGCCTGCGGAGCTGAATGAGTAAATCCACAAGTGAATCCTTTTTTCCAAGATCCTCAGCTCTTGAGGTTACTTCTTTTGCTACTCTATTGTATTTTTTTAATTTATTAATGCTAAAAGGGCATGTGCACTCCCCAGAAAGAGACAGATACAGAGAGAGGGACAGGGAAAATGCACTCCACAGTGGGATGTGATCACGTTCCAATCCCTTCTACATCCCGTTGGGGTTTTGGGCACACACACACATGCACCCAGTGTGGTTTCAAGCCATGGGGTCCAGGATTTGAACCACAGGTTCTGCCATATGGGATCCAGTTCCCTTAACCACTGGGCGATAGGCTGACCTTTTTGGCTTCTCTGTGGTCTTCGAAGTATCTACCTACACAGCTAGCACTCAATAATCCCTGGAATTCAGTCTCAGATTCCCCACCTCTGTCATCCTAATCTACTCTGGGATCACCTCTCCATGTCAGGGTCACCTTTTCCAGACGGGTCTCCAGTTCTGATACTTCAGCTTCCACCAGCTCAATAGAGGCTCTGGGAAAGGAGGGATGGGGTCAGGGGACAAGAGCTTGGGTCCATCAATCGGTCTGTCTGCCTCATCGGGGTCCAGGAGAGGGTGGCAGGGTGGCGGGTACAGATGGAGAAAGCAGCCCCCCCAATCCTGCTCACTCACTCTGCAGTCTGGGAGCCTGTACAGCCCAGACCAGAGCAGGAAGGGCAGAAGGAGGGTGGATGTGGTGAGGACAGGAAGTTGCTAACCGCCCCAGAGCAGGTGCTGGGGGAGGGGCAGGGGTCCCAGTGAGAGGGAGGAGGGAATGCCAGCTCTGGAGGGTGAAGAGCAGCTGGAAAGGCTGGGAGGCAGGTACAGGTACAGGGTGGAGAACCTGGGAGTACCCTGGCCCCACCTCAGAGGTACCACTGCAACCCACCAGCTCCTCTCGTCTCTATGAGGCCTACTCTGTGGGCAGAGGTCTAACCTAGGCAATGTCGTTGGGGATGTTGGACCCTCCTCATCACCGCTCCCCAGACCTGCACACACTTACCGGAAACGGGGTGAGTCCTTGAGACACTCTTCAAAATCCAGCTTCACCGTCATCTTGGCTTGACTGCTGCGGGCCCAGCAGGCCCTAGAGGCTGGCGAAGGTGAGGATGCAGGTGGAGGCACTCCTTGCCCTGGGAGGGCCTCTGAGGAGACGAAGGAGGTCCCCTGCTGGGCAGGGCCTGGGGGCAAATGTTTTCCCCTTGGGGAAGGAATGTCCTAGGAGGAGCTCTGGCTCTACACTTCTATCAGTGCTGGGAGGAGCGGGGCGGGGCCTGGGCGGAGGAGGGGGCCTGAGATCAGAGAAGCCACAGCCCCGCCCTCAGAGACTATGGCTGTCACCTTCCTCCTGGGGGCCCTCACAGAGATCACTGCTTTTTCCTTTAGTGATTGAGTTTCTTCATTTTTAAAACTTTTTATTTTTAAGAATTATTTAATTTATTATTATGATTACTATTATTTTAAAGTTGCTACAGAGCACATGTGCTCACCAGAGAGAGAGAGAGATAAAGTGAGAAAGCAAGCTGCTAGGTCTGGGCCTCGAACCGCAGTGGGTTATGTGGAAATCCAGTGCCTTAACCACCACGCCACCTGCTGGCTCCACAGTGATTGAGTTTTGGGGGCCTGTCATATCTGGGTTCAAATCCAGCCTTGGTCACTTACAGGTTGTGTGACCCTGGGCAAGCTCTGAGTCCTACCTCCAGAGTTGTTTAATTGAAGGTGGAAGTCAGCAGGTGGCATGGAAGTTGGGGTAGCTAGATCCCACATGGCCGGCTGCACGGTTTAAAACCTGGACCTGGTGACTTGAAAAATGACCAGAGAAGCCACAGCCCCGCCCTCAGAGACTATGGCTGTCACCTTCCTCCTGGGGGCCCTCACAGAGATCACTGCTTTTTCCTTTAGTGATTGAGTTTCTTCATTTTTAAAACTTTTTATTTTTAAGAATTATTTAATTTATTATTATGATTACTATTATTTTAAAGTTGCTACAGAGCACATGTGCTCACCAGAGAGAGAGAGAGATAAAGTGAGAAAGCAAGCTGCTAGGTCTGGGCCTCGAACCGCAGTGGGTTATGTGGAAATCCAGTGCCTTAACCACCACGCCACCTGCTGGCTCCACAGTGATTGAGTTTTGGGGGCCTGTCATATCTGGGTTCAAATCCAGCCTTGGTCACTTACAGGTTGTGTGACCCTGGGCAAGCTCTGAGTCCTACCTCCAGAGTTGTTTAATTGAAGGTGGAAGTCAGCAGGTGGCATGGAAGTTGGGGTAGCTAGATCCCACATGGCCGGCTGCACGGTTTAAAACCTGGACCTGGTGACTTGAAAAATAGGCCAAGCACATGTGCATGTGTCCCCTAAATCCTAGAAGAGAATGGAGAAGGTGAGGTGACCATCCTCCTGGGGGGTGGGCTTCTCATTGTCTCTGTCTCCAGTGAGCACATGAGCCCTCTAACAACAACTGTTTAAAAATAATGAAAGGAATTACAGATGAGATACTGCTAGACTGATGTCAGCTAAACTAACTGCATCAGTCACCCGCATCCGGCCACAGCGTGGGCCTTCTCGGGACGCAAGGCCCTTGAGTCCAGCACCCTGGGCTGCTCCTGGCTCTTCTCCCCGCTCTGCCGTCCCGGTTTCCTGTGTGTGACCTCCCCTTTCCTCCTGCATGACTGAGCAGGCCCAGCCTGAGCATCCGAGTCACAGCACCCAGACCTCGCTCTTCTGCTCTTTATTGGCCATCTCTAGGGTAGAAGGGCAGGGAAGGGCCCCCGCCCCAGCTGGCTACAGTTTCCATTGTTGGGTTTCCTCTTCCTGAGTCCAGCCACGGCGTTTCATCTGGAGAGAAGAGGTGGGTTGGTGGCTTTCTTGTACCAAGCAATGAGAGCTTGTGAGCTCACACTCCCCAGAACTTACCCACTGAACCCCTCTCCCTCCCTGGCCACCCTCTCAGCCCTGTGGGCACCCCCTTACCTTTGCCCAGGTTCATTTTTGTGCTCGGTATGGCTTTGGGGGGGTCGTTTGCTGGTACATTCCCTCTCCGAGGTCCCTGGGCTTTGCCAGCTCAGCTCCTTGGTCACCAGCCATTGACACCAGCCGGACACCACTGGAGACCCACTGTCTTGAGAGGACAGGGTAGTACCTACAGTGGGACCGGGTGGCAGAATGAAGTCGGGGACGGGGGCATGGAGTTAGCAGGGGGTGCTAAATCAGAGGGGTTCCCGACTCCTCCTGAGCCTCCCCTGTACAATGTGGGCTTTGGGCTCTAGGATGGTCAGAGCCTCTTGCCCCATGTTTCTGATGGACTGGCCTGAAGGGACTGGGGGACTGGGAAGTGGGAGCTTGCCAATAGGCCCAGAGAGATAGTGGCCTGGTACCCTCCCCAGGCTGCTATGTGTCACCATCATTGTCAGGGAGCTCTTGGTGGCCTTGTGATCCCTAAAAGGGCCCCCATGGAGTCCAAGAGATGGACCTCAGTGCTAATGGGATCAAGGTTGGGGCACCCCTCAGGCTGTTGGTTCTGAGCCCTCCTGCCCCCCAGGCTGATCCACCCTGGCTCTCACTGTTGTCCTGCTCATCTTCTGTGTCCTCCTGAAGCTCTGGGCGGGAACAGGATCTCAGATATATTCCTTTGCAATAATACTCCTTGCGTTGCAGGTCAATCCCCTGCTGCAATGTAATGGGGGCCCAAACTCGGGGGGACTGGCTTCTGTAGGTAGAGGAATCTGAGGAATCACCAAATCAATCTGAGTCTTATGACCACCTGGCGTCTCTGTCCCCAGCTGTCCACTGTGCGTCCCCACCTAAGGGGTAAACCTTGGCCCCAGGTGCTCATCTCACTTCTCTTACAGCCTTTTCATTTGATTAACCTCCAGTGAAGTGACCTCTCTGTCTCCCCGGCTCTCTTGGACTTTCTATTCTTCACCAGCCAGCCATCTCCAGGTGCCACCTTGAACAGGGACCCCAGTCTAGCTGTCCTCTTTTTTGTTGTTGTTGTTAATTAAAATAAAAATGTCTTAGGGGCCAGCAGGTGGCATGGTGGTAAAGGAGCTGGACTTCCTACATGGCTGACCATAGTTTGAGGCCCAGATCTGGTGGCTTCCTTTCTGGTTCTCCCCACCACCCCTGTCTTTCTCTGGCAAAATTCATGTAAAGAAGTAATAATAACTAAACAACTGAATAAATAAAATAATTCTTAAAAAGTCTTTTTTTTTTCTAAATGTTGTTATAGATGGGGCCAGCAAATGGCATGGTGGTTAAGGGTGCTGGACTCCCACAGGGCTGACTGTGGTTTGAGCCCTAGACCGGGTGGCTTGCTTTCTCACTTTCTCTCTTTCTCACTCTGTCCCTCTCTGGTCAAATTAAAACAAGCAAATCAATAGATACAGTTAAATAAAATAATTCTAGAAGAAACATTTGTTATAGGCATGTGTACTCAATAGAGAGAGAGAGAACTCAGCCTCCAAGGAGGATGGCCAGGCTGCAGCCCTTCTCCTCCATTCTCCTCTCAGGATATTGGGCATGCATGCATGCCCAGTGTGTTTTTCAAGCTACTAGGTCTGGGACTGGAACTGCTCAGTCAGCCATGTGGGATCCACCCACCATAACCACCATGGCACCAGTTGGCCCCATCTGCCCTCTTTTCCCCCTGGGTCACCTCCTGTCAGACAGCAGGGAGTTGGGCTGGTGCCCACTGAGGAAGACAGATAAGGTGGAGAACTGAGGAACAGGCTCTGTGATACAACTCCCACGAAGGCCAGGAGCCCCGCCATCCATAGCTAACCCTTGGCTTCTAGGACCTGGCTCTTGGTCACCAGGCCAGTCTCGGCTTTGAGTCCTCCGGCCAGTCCTCCAGCCCAGCTTCTCTCTGCGGGCCTGGGCATGGGGTCCAGCTTCACACCTGGACTGCCGCTGCTGCCACTGCCACCAGCCCCGTTGCTTTCTTCGTCATCATCCACAGGCAGCTTTTTCTGAGCCTTGAGGAACTTCCCTTCGTCATAGTGTGCCCTGCGGCGCTTGTCAAAGTCACTGGAGTCTGTGGGCCAGCGTGAGAGCTTGGCTTTCCATCCAGGCTCTCGCTGAAGGTTCACTCTGCCTCCCCTTTCCATTCAGTCCCCACCCTTCATCTCACATGTCTTGGAAAAGTTGTCTGAAGACCCTGAGCTTCTGTTATCCCCATACTGGAGAGTTTTGTCCATTTTTGCAAACCTGAGGGAGAGAGAGAAGGGCTGGGGATACCAAAGAAGGAGAACAGCAATGGGAGCAGGAGGTGGCGGATGGGGCAATGCAGATCAGTCACCCAGACCAGTCTTGGTCAGGCCTGATGGGAATTGTCTCCCATTTTGGGGACCAAAAAGCAGAACTGCCTGAGACCCAGTGTTCAAAGGTGAAGGGAGGAAGAAGCCCGGCAGCCCAGCTGGGCTCTGGCAGGTTTCTCACCTCTCTGCTATTTCTTCAGGAGTCACCTTGTTTGAGGACCCTGCCAACAGGTCCTCATAGCTGTCCTGAAACCTACAGAGGAGAGGGAAACAGTGTCAGAAGGAGGAGATGGGGGAGGCGGCATCAGGCAGGAGCCAGGGCGTAAGGCTTCTCTGTTTCATCCTGCCACCTCCTTCCAAGAGACTAGCGTTTGGGCAGATAGGTGAGGGCAGAGGCTGGGCACCTGCGGTAGGGAGTGCTGGGCTCATCCACCTTCATAAAGCCGTAGTCCTTCCCCGCAGGGTGGTAGGTGGCCAGGATATTCCCCTCGTCCCAGTGCTGAGACTTCTTCCTGCCGTCAGGGGAGTACACAGACAAGGGAGAAGGGATCTTCTAGCGCTCACGCCCTCTCTCCTTCTGGCCATTCCAAACACTTTCCTCACAGCACTTTGCAGAGGCTGGGGGTTGGGATCAGACCCTCCAGCACAGTCACTATGCAGCAGGATTGAGGGACCTTTGCTCTCTCTCCCAAAGACCTGGAACCTCAGCTGTCTCCCCCAACTGCTCCCACCTACTCCACCTCAGTTCTCAGGACTCCTGGCCCTTCCCTCCTTGCCCCACCCTCCTTGTCCTGAATCCTTCCCTCTGGGTGATGAGCTGGGCTTACTTCTCCACACTGGGTTTGGGCATCGAGATGGAGCTGGTTTTTTTTAGGATGCTCCGGGGCCGGTCCTCATGGTTGTGGAGATGCAAGCAAGTTGATCCGGAGCGCGGATCGCATTCTGAGCTGTTCATTTCAAGCCCCCTAGACCCGGGACTAGGGGCTTGGGTTACACTGGGTGCAGGGCAGAGTGGGTTGAGGCCACCAGGGCATGTGCCAGACCCAAGGCTGCGGCCCGCAACCTCCCCAAGGTGCTGACTAGGCTCGGAACCAAGGGTCACTTTCCCTCGGGAAGTCTGGTCTGAACCAGGACTGCGAATTGCAATGCCTCCGGGGTGCATGGGGGACTCAGAACCGTGAAACAAGCCTACTCCAGGGGACAACCCGGGGCCGGCCTCGACTCTGACTTCTCCCGGAACCCCCTTGGTTGACCCTCCAGGGGATTCCCCCCTGAGGCCGCCAGCAGCCCCCAGAGCTTCCGGCTTCTCCATGGCTCCACTTCGGGGGCCACTCAGCCACCCCGCCCCACCTCCCTGATGCACATAGCCCCGCCCCTAGGGCCTGGGTGAGACGGGGACTCGCTGCTCAGGCCCCGGGTCCCTCCCACTCTGCTCCCTGGAGCGGAGGTGGACGGAACCGAAACTCGCTATATAGAGACCTCAAGCTGGGAGCCCCTTTGCTCGCCTTTCCCTTTCTGTCCCACCCAAAGACTTTCTTTGTCTTTGCGATTTGTTCCCGCCCTTCTGCTCCATCACCGCCCCCATCCGAATCAGCCAATCATAGCTAAGAGGCAAGAAGCCTTAATTGTGACCTCACAGTCCTCCGACCTTAGCGCGAGCATCCGAGAGTGGTGCTAGGGGCTTGTTTATAATTGTGGGGGGATCTTTTGGGAACGTCTGAGCCGTTGCTTGAAACCGCCTCTTGGGATTTCTCTGGACTCTTTATTTGTGGACTTGAAATCTAAAAGTTTGGTTGGACTGGACCTGCAGTACCCTCGAACTTCCCCCTTCAGTCGGCTTGCTTTGCCTTTCAGGAGAGGTGTGGGGCACAGTACAGGGATTGCGACACTGTCGCAAGACAGAGCCGGCCTCGTGGGGTAGAGAGCCTTTCTAAAGCTACCGCTTCTCAGCTCTGGTCCTCCAGACCCGGCTCATACGGAATTAAAGCACGTAGCGTGATGGAAGACAACTCTCTCTGCCGTAAAGCGGATATTTAAAGGTGTCTCCTCCCTGGCGTCGGCGCCGCTGTCGGAAAGCTGAACGTGTTCGGGCGCCACCGCCTCTCTGTCGTAAAAGTGCCTACGGCAGGCGTTTTTTCCTCCCACTGTCGCAAAAGCGCTCTGCTCAAATCTTCCCCCCACCGGGAGCCGCTCCGTCACCTCGCTGTGCCGTAAAGCACGCCTCCGACCCCGTCGTCCTTCTGTTCCCTCCGCGGTAGTCATTAGTTCCTTAGACCGGGACGCTCCATTGCCCGGCAGTGCCGTAAAGCATACCAGGCCCCAGCCCCCGGTCGTATTCCCTCAGGGTGTCCGTCCACCGCGGTTGCCACGGTGCCGCCAAGCGCGGCTGTCGCGCGGCCCCGGTGTCAGCGGCTATGGCGGCGGGTTCGGGTGGGAGTGGGGGCTCTGGGGGAGGCCCCGGGCCGGGGCCTGGTGGGGGTGGGGGCCCCGGCGGGAGCGGCCCAGGACCGGGGGCCGGCGGGGGGCGCGGGCGG